CTCAGGGTTCCTTGGGTGCTGAGACCATAGCCTTCTCGGAGAAGACAAGAGGACACAACCTAGCATGAAACTGAGCCAGGCGTGGTGGCATACACTTCTAATCCCAACACTGAAGAGACAGAGACCTGTGGATCTCAAGGCCAGTCTAGTTCCAGGACAGCCAAAGCTATGTAAAGAGACCCTGTCTAAAAACAAAACAAACTGGTGGTGATAAACTACACTTGACCAGAATGTTTCTGTCCCATCTAAGGCTGGTAGGCAGCATGTGCCCCAGAATAACTATGAATGCAACCCAATATGATATGATGAACTTAGTTATAGTTATGAGATTTGGAGGGATTTTAAAATATTATTATTAGCTCCATTGCATTTTCCAGGGCCTGAGCTTCAGAGGTAGCAGCATTGTGTCACGGCGTTAAAAGGTTGAACAGCTCCTAAGAGACAGTTGCCTTGTTTAATGTTTACTGAAGCCCGGGAAACCAGTCTTGGCTCTATTTTTGCATTCAGGTCAGATGCCAGGGGTTAGCACCAGGAAGTGGAGGAGCCAAGACTGAGCCCCACTAACTGCCTTGACCTGCCTGGCCTGCCTCTATCTGAAGCATCCAGCACTATGGACACACCCCCGCCAGGGCCCTGCCCGAAGCTGGCACTGGGGTGATGTGAGAAGGTCCTATCCCTGTCTCTGAGGAACCCAACATTCTTCTCAGGAGCTGCAGGGGCCATGAACCTGGTGCGAGGGCTGGGATCCCCGCCCACACAATTGCCGAGATCCATTCCACCATGGGGAGCAAGAACAAGCTCACTGCTGTGGGAGTGGGGCTGGGGGCATTGATGAGGGTGAGGAGGACCTAAGGCTCTACTATCACTCCCTGCCAGAACTGGTAAAGACCAGGACCCTACTGCTAAAGTCACCCCGTCTATGTTCCTCTCCTGAGTCTTATAATTTGGATAAAGCTGAACAGTAGATGGTCCGGCCACTATGGAGGTTCAGACAGTTACACTGCCCAGGACTGTGTAGCTCCCTTAGCATGCCTCATGCAGACACATGCTGGGATGTTTGCATGAGGAAATCAGCAAACATCACTGTTCCCAGAATATGTCTCAGGACGCAGAACAGGACTATAGTCTAGAAGCCAAAACAGGATGCTGACACCACCCAGGCCCAAAGCCTAGCTCTGCTCTTTATCTATGAGCTTGGCCCTATCATTAACTTCCCGTGTACCTCAAACACCCACTCTATATAGTTGGTGTGATGATAATAATAGTAGCCATTTCATGGGTTATTGTGAGAATTGATCTACTTAAGACATTGATTGCCTCGTTATTGCTAGGTAGGTGGCTGTTGCAGCTCCAGCCATTAAATCCACTCTCTGAAGATAAAATGTGGAGAAAAGACTCTGCCCCCCCCCCTTTTTGTGTTTTTGTCTTTAAATTGCAGTCCTTCTCGAAAGCATTTTTTTTTTTTCAACTCCGTTGACCAGAACTGGGTCACATGGGCAACCTTAGCCGCATTGGGAGCTGGGAGATAACTTTTTAAAAGCAGAACTCTTACGGACTAAAAGAGATGGACGGGTGGTGGAGTAGCAGGCTCCATTTCAGCTCCCATGGTCACCAATTGCGGATGTGTCCTCTGGGGACACTGCACTGCAATCCTTGTCCTCAGGGAAGAGGCACTTGGAGCCTCTTGCGTTGGAAACAGCTCCCTGAGGCCGGAGGGTCTCCCAGCAACAGTCACCTGAATACGGCTTTTGTTGGTCCCTCTGCATCCCTGCCCGCTCCCTGTCCAGGGGTCTGAGGATTGCGGCTTGCTACTGTTTATAGTGCTGTTTGCTTTTCTTTGCTTCGACGAGGCCAGGATAGTCCCAGAAACCTCCTGTGAGTGGGGCATGAGCCTTTGCAACAGCTTGGCTTAGCAGCTTGGCCTTCCTCCTATTTCCCTCAGTGGCTGTCTACACTGGCTGTCTACACAGGCTGGAATGGAGAGTCAGTAGTCTACACTGCTCACTATCCAGCACCTTAGCCTCCTGCACCTGAGAAGCAAGTGTGGCCTGTGCGTCTGAGAAAGTTGGCTCATTTTTTTCTTAATTAATTTGAACCCGACAAGGCACCTGTTCTTGCTGGTCGCTGTGCTGAGCTGTGCAGCTACACACCAGAGTTCAGAGTCTCTGTTCCCACACACTACCAGTAACATTCATCCCTACAAAGAGTACTCCCCTCTAAGTATCTCTACGAAGACCCAGAAATGGATAACATCTTGTCCAAGGACACACTGCAAGGTACCAAACCCTCTGAGGAAGAAAACCAAAGCTAACACCAGCTTTGATGTGTATATTTGGTCCCCTCTATGCAGAAGGCAAAGTGAGCTGTGCATATAAGTGGTACTCACGGACTGTGGGCAGGGTGCTGGGCACATTTAAGTCGTTTGTTTTGGGATAGAGCTGGGGATGGAACTCAGGGCCTTGGGCACGCTAGGCATACTCTCTGTCCCTAAGCCACACCTCCAACCTCCATTTAAGTTTCATTTACCCCACTCCACAGGCAAGACAACTGAGGCCTATAGACATAGCCCTTCCCTGTCCATTGATTCCGGGACTGCAGTCTGGGACCCAGCCTCTGAAGGCCATGTGGTAGGTTGGCTCTGATCCGGGTGAGTGCAGGGCTGTAACTGCCTACCCAGTCAGTGCAGATGCTTAGTAAGCTCGCTCAACCTCTCATTTTCCTTTAGTTGTTTTGCCAGCCTGGCTTCCTGAGACTGGGCTCTTGTTAGGTGTGCCTGGTTCCCATTGGCTGCTTTTAGAGCTGGGCTAGGCTGAAGGGCGGGGCCTTGGTGCCAGGTACACCTGTTAGGGTGTGCATTTGGTGCCAGGGCCACCCCCATGTCTGCTCTTGGCCAGGCTCAGGTACAGCAACTGTTACGTGTTTCCACCTTCATCCACTGCCTCGGGGTGTTCTAGCAACACCAGTCCCTGGGTCACTCCTCAGGTACAGCAACTGTTACGTGTTTCCACCTTCATCCACTGCCTCGGGTGTTCTAGCAATGCCAATCCCTGGGTCACAATGCTTCCTGCACCCATTACTGTGAGAGGAGAGAACCCCACTGGGAAGAAACAGCACCCCTGGTCAAATTAGAATGTAGGACAACACAATGCATGCCAAGCCTAAGTGCGTTCCACATGCTACTGGGGATACACTTACCACAAGAATGACCCATCGCTTCCCGAAGACAGCCCCCTGTGTGTCTGGGATTTTGGTTCTTGTTTTACTTTGTTCTACCCGTTTTGAATCTGGCAGCCCTGGCTGGATGGGATCCCTGTGCTGTGTAAAAAGCAAGACCCCAAGAAAGGACATAAAGTTTGTGGAAGAACTGGCCAGGGACTGACAGGGCCTCTTGGGACTCACTGCTGCCTGCATGGACAATAAAACGTTAGTGGCTTCCTAAGTGCCTTGAAGACACATAGAAATCACTCATATTGTGAGTGTGTGTGTGAGTGTGTGTGTGTGTGTGTGTGTGTGTGTGTGTGTGTGTGTGTATTTAAATTATATAATACATATATTATGCAAACAAAAAGCAACCACATAGTATAGTATCAGTGGACTTGTGCTAGCAGTCACTCACACTTGATTCTAAAGTCAACCATTGAGTGTGCAAAGGGACCCCATCAGGATGGGCAAATGAAGACCACCGATAAAGGAGAGAACTCCAGAGTCTTGTATACCACTAAAGATGGCAAGCCAGAGCAAGGGACAGGTGGCTGGAATTCAGGCTTTTTATGATCTGACCTCCCACCTGGAGTGAGGGCTGGGCCAGGACCAATCAGGTGTTTGGAGGGACATGACAGCAGCCTGCACTGGAGTCTACCAGTGTAAGACAGAGCAGACAAGCGCCTTCCCACACTGGGGACTTTGGGGGAAGACCCTGTCTGAGGAGGTGAGCACAGATCTGTGTCACCCGAGGGAGGTGGACACAGGGGAAGCTGGAGATGGATGGTGGGAAGCAGGAAAGAGCCTGACGGTTGCAGGAGGGTGGGACTGGGCAGGACAGTGCTGGAGCTGCCTTCGGCAGAGTCCCCGGGTCTGTTTCCGGAGCTGTCACTGTGTCCTTCAACTTGGTTCTTCTCCTGCCACCAAGATGAGGACTCACTCTGCCTTAGAGGGTGGGGGAAGTAAAGAAAACTATATAGCCCAGGCTGGCCTGGAACCTGTTATTAGCCCAGGTTGGCCTTGAATCTGCAGCAGTCCTCCTGCGTTAGCCTCTTAGGCTGGTGTTAAACAAGTGTGCTGCCATGCCTGGTACCTTCATCAACTACTGTAAGTTTGAGGTTGATTGGTGTTAAAAGAACACACCAGGGCCTACAGGACTATTGTGGCAAAAGATGCTCTGTGACACTTTCATCTTTAAAGCCTCATCTCTTACCTGGGTACCTTCCTTCTTAAGATGCAAGGGTCTCAGGATCACACACAGGACTGAATAGAGATGCTATCATCTCCTATCCCCAGGGTACCCCTATTCTTGGGGCTATGCCTGTACATGCTGTGTTCTCTGTGGGGTGCAGAACCCCCGGGGGGCCACGGGCATAGGCTCTGCAGGATGTAACTGTGCCCTTCATCATCAATTCTCTAGTGTGGCACTGTTCAAATTCTGACTCACCACCAGAGTCACACCTGTGGCATACCGAAGCTTGGCTTCTCAGAATTCCTTCACCTCTCTGAGCCTCAGTGGCCTGCTGTGTGCAGTGGGGATCCTGTTGGTACCAGGCTTAGGTTTGGGGGGAGTCTATGAGGAATCACACAGAGTTTCCCCAGGCATAGGGTCACTCATGGTCAGAATGTTGACTCCTAAGTCTGTAGCCATCAGGAGGACACTGAGTGGCCACAGGGTATCGGCAGCCCAGGAATGTGGCAGGCGTGGGTCCAGGGCCCACTTGGGAAAAGGTCCTGTGTTCATAGCTCACAGGAGTCACCTGAGCCCTTCCCAGCCCCCACCTCTGACCAGCTGCTCTTGTCCCCTAGTGCTCCTGCGGGAGGAAGTGCTCCAGCTTCAGGAGGAAGTGCTCCTTCTCCGGCAGATGAAAGAGGTGCTAGCCAAGGACCTGGAGGAGTCCCAGGGCGGCAAGTGCTCCGAGGCGCTCTCAGCCACAGAGCTTCGGGTGCAGCTGGTGCAGAAGGAGCAGGAACTGGCCAGAGCCAAAGAAGCCTTGCAAGGTGAGTGACAGGCAACAGGGGACAGACTTGGGCAGCTCCTGCCTGCTCCCCCCACCCCAGCCATTCTGAGCTTTCTGGATTTGGCTCCTATTAACATCTGTCTCGGGGTGACCTTTGCTCTGAGGATTGAATAGTGAGTGGACTTTTAAAATTTTTTGTTTGAAGCCAGGAGGTAGCTGCACAAGCCTTTAATCCCAGCACTTAGGAGGCAGAGGCAGGTGGGTCTCTGTGAGTTCAAGGTCAGCCTGCTCTACAGAGTGAGTTGTAGGACAGCCAGGGCTGTTACACAGAGAAACCCTGTCTTGAAAAAACAATAGCAGCAACAACAAATTTATTTGAAGTTTTTCATTAGTATATGTTTTACATAATGGCTTATTATGACATTTTCGTTCAAGTACATAGTGTGTTTTAGTCACGTTTGTCTCCATCACCCTCCCTTGTCCCTCCCACTCCCACAGCCCCCTTCCTTTTCTCAACCAGTCCTTGGCTAAGTCCACCCCACCCCCACTGAGTCTCATCAGGGCTGCTTATGGGAGGATGGGTGAAGGTCTATTTCCAGGAACTTTGGCACCGTGCCAGTGGTTTCACCACTAAAGCAAATGTTTCTTATCCCTTCAGCAACTATTAACTGCCCACAGATTCTCAGGAAGGGTGGGGCCTCAGAAGTCATCTTTGATAAACCAGGACACTGACTTATTGCTGAATCTATCCTACATTCTTGGGAACCTGTAGTGCCTCCCTGAGTATGTTCTGGGCTCTGTTGGAGCAATGCCTGCAGCCCCGCATATCAGTCCTGTTTCCCAAGGTGGGCTCTGAGACGGGCATGAGTTTGTTCTCACCACTCAGACCAGTGTAGTTTTCCTATGAGACATAGCATTGTGCAATCCTGGCTCTGGGGAGACCCTTGAAGTTATGCAGGTGTGTAGCAAATCTCTTGAGTTAGACCACAGTTCCTTGGTCACCAGCTGGCCAAAGATTACAGACCAGTGGGCCTCAAGTGCAGCCCAGTTCCCTGAAACATCTCTCAGCTCTTTTATCTCCGGAAAGGCTACTTGCCCATGCTCTGGAAGGTTCCAGAAAGTTCTTTGAGACAGGTAGGAAGCTTGTCTAAGATGCAGCTGCCATGTGCTTTGAGAAGTCGGTCCCACAGTGTCTCCAGAGAACAGCGCTTGGGGTGTGCATGCTGCTGACTCTGAAAAAGTGCATTCAACCTTTTGACATTGGTGACAGATGTCATCTGCAAAAGTTCACACTTGAGAACTGTGTGGGCCAGTTATCAAACAAACGATTGCAAAAGCAAGTCTCATGCTTTAAGTCAGCTTATGCTTTTGTGCTGTCCCCGAGGGCTGTGGGTTGAACACACCTGCCAGACATCTAGAAAAGCTTCGTTTCTGAAGCCAGAGCTGGCTTGTCACTTTGACCACCATGACACCGACAGCGGTCAAGCTCTTCCTTTGAGCAGTCCTGGGTGAGCATCTTGGGTGGGGGAGGGGAGTGTTTGAGCCCCCTAGCCCACCAAACACCTTGCAAGGGGCCACAGTGGTGGGTCACAGGTTGCCTTGGCAGGAGCCTGGTCACACATTGCTGTAGGGTGAGGAGTCTGGGGTATGAACTTCCTTGCTGTCTAGCTTTGTCCTGGGTGCAGTTCTCACGGCATGAAGGAAGAAGGATTTTGTTGACTGGTGAGCCACCTGCATCCCAACAACTTTCCCTGACCCTAGCTTTGGTATGCAGGGCTGACTGAGCAGATGGTTATGTGATACTTGACATCCCCAAGGGTGTGCAAGGAGCCGCTGGGAGGATGAATGTGTGTAACTTTCAAGGCATGTGGGACACTTCCTTGATGGGGATCTTATTTCAACAATGTCTTAGTTAGGAAGAGACACCATGACTGTGGCAACTCTTATAAAGGGAAATATTTAATTGGGGCTGGCGTACAGTTCAGAGTTTTAGTGCATTATTGTTATGGTGGGAAGCATGACAGCACGCAGGCAGCCATGGTGCTGAAGGGGTAGCTGAGAGCTCTACATCCGAATCCGCAGGCAGCAGGAAGAGATGGAGCTGCTGGGTTTGACTTGAGCATCTGAAACCTCAAAGGCCACCCCCAGTGGTGTACTTCCTCCAGCAAGGCCACGCCTCCTGGTCGTGCCACTCCCTATGGGTTATGGGGGCCATTTTTATTCTACCTCGACAGTCAGGGTTGCTGTGATTGAAGGTATCGATGGTGTGGGTGTTGTGACCCAGCTATTACGTGATGTCTGCATGCTTGGGAAGCCATTTTATAAGTGTGCCTGCTTTTTCTTTACGGACCCCTCTAGAGGTCCATTCCTACCTGTGTAGCTGCCATTTACTTGACTCAAGGACCTCACAATATCCCTCCTGTCTTCACTATGGTGTCTCATGGCCTGGAGTCTCCCAGGGAGGTGCTGCTTAGCCCAGGTCCTTGGTCTCCATGAGCTTAACACTGTGCCACATTGGTCCTGGCTTGGGAGAGCACCACACTCCGCCTCTTTTGCCTTTCCCAGAGTTTATTCCCGGGACAGGGGACCTTTTCTCCCCTGCCCTTGGCCAGGGGCAGAATTCTCAGCTGTGTTTGCTCTTCAGGACCCAGAAGAAGGCAGTTAACGGGCCAGGAGGCAGATCCTGGGGCACTCACCCTACCCTGACTCAGCCAAGGGCAAGAGTCCAGGGTTGCACAGAGTGAGAATTAAAAGGAGTGATGTCTGCATCGAGGAACCCAGCTCCCTGGAGCCCACAACACGCAGAGCAAGCATCCAACACCCCTGCATTCTGGGGCCATTTTCTGAAATGCTACCTGGATAGTATGGAATCTGCATGCTCTGTGTGTTTTTCTGCTTGTGTGCCCTGTGGTAAAGGTTACCACACATGTGAGGCACAGTTAGAGTTTACCAAGAAAAGCTAATAATAGAACAGACTGGTTGGGACCATTTACCCAAAGTCATTGAGCGGCCAGGGAGATAGTGCAGGTGCAAGCACGTGGCCTACATTCAATTCCTAGCACTCACATTCAAAAGCAAGGCATGGCGGTGTGCACCTGTAAACCCAGCGCTGTGGAGGCAGAGATAACAGGACCCCACAGGCTCGCTGGCCATCCAGCCTAGCAGAGTCAGTGAGCTACAGGCCCCGTGGGAGACTTGTCTCAAAGAGTCAGGTGGAGAGTGATTGAGGGAGACCTCTGGCTTCTACGCACATATACATGCAGGAAATTACATAAGACTTTTGAATGACTTCTAGAACTTTCTATGGAGTATTTTCCTTGGCCACAAATAATGCACAGATGTGGACAGTAGAGGTGTCTTTCCTTGAATCGGGGTTATAACATGCCTTACTTACTTTTTTATGGCTGTAATAACGAACCGTGACCAGAGCACATTGTAAAAGAAAGGGTTTATTGGGGGCTTACAGTTTCAGAGGGTGAGTCCTTGACCATCTTGGGAGGAGCAGGCAGGCAGGCATGGTGCTGGGGCTGAGAGCTTATGTCTTGAGACAACAACCATGAGCAGAGAGAGAGGAGTAACTGGGAATGGTGTGGACTTTTGAAACCTCAAAGCCTGCCCCAGTGATCCACCTCTGTTGTGTGATGTTTTACTCTTTTTGGCTTTTTGAGGGGCCATCACCCAGCTCCCAGGTAAATCACACTTGGAGGCTTATTTTTAGTTATGAGTGCCTGGCCTTAGCTTGGCTTGTTTCTTGCCAGCTTTTCTTAAATTAACCCATCTTCCTTTTGCCTCTGGGCTTTTTCCTTTCCTATTCCTGTATACCTTACTTTGTTTCTTACTCCATGGCTTGCTGGTTGGCTGGGTCGCTGGCCCCTGACATCCTCCCCCGCTTGTCCTCTTGTTGCTTTTTTCCCCTCCCTTCTCCGTTTATTTATACTCTCTGCCTGCCAGCCCTGCCTCGCTATTAGACCATCAGGTGTTTTAGACAGGCACAGTAACACTGCTTCACAGAGTTAAACAAAAGCAGCATAAACAAAAGTCGCACACCTTAAAGTAATATTCCCCAACACACCTCCAACGAGACCACACCTCCTAATCCTTCCTAGTTCTACCACTTGGGAACCAAGTAGTCCAATATATAGACTGATGAAGGCTATTCTCATTCAAACCATCACATAAGACTTCCTACCTATCTGCCTGAGGACCCCTGATGGTGGCCTCTCTTTAGGGGACCAACCCACCCAAAAGGACTCTATGCTAGCTTCCTGTGAAGACACTGGGTGAGCCTCAGGGATGTCAAGTAACTTGACCAAGCTCCCAGAGCCCAGCAAGGCAGAGGCCTTTTCTCTTGCACTAACATGCCTTGTCCTTCCTCTGCGCATGTCTGCTATGGAGTCAGCTTGAGACAGGAGATGGAGACCACTTTAGCTCAGCCATGGGATGGCCACTTTGGAGTCAGATTTAAACTGAACTTGTACCCCAGCCATATCTATATCCCTTATTGTTTCAATACCACATTTTCCTTTATAGCCCAGGCTAGCCTTGCACTCACTAGTAGCCTAGGCTGGCTGTTAAGTCACTGTGATCCATCTGCCTCAGCTTCCCAAGGGCTGGAATTACAGGTGTGAGCTACCACATCTGCCTCTACCTCTTACTAATTTTGACCTTGTCTAACATTCCCAGCCTGCCTGGAACTGCATTCCTTTGAGGTAATGGTAGGACCCGTGTTTCTTACCTTCAGAGCCAATGAGAGTGGCTGCCTCTCAGGCCAATGACTGGCTCACTGCTTACTGTGATTTATACAGAAGCCCAGTGATTGGCCAATCGCAGGGCAAGACCTCCCTTCTCAGATCTGCTCAGAGCTACCACCTGTCTGGCTTCTAGGCCAAAGGCAACCCAGAGCCCATGCACTCAAAGCAACAGTGTTCTTGAAAAGCTAGTGGCTGGACACCTCCAGCCACCTAGAACATTCCACCTGGAATCCTGCAGTTTCATAAAAAAAAAAAAAAAAAAAAAAAAAAAAAAGCTCACTTCCGCATC